GAGGAGGAGATGCCTCCAAGTACGCCCAAGAAACCTCCAAGACGGCCCAAGACGGCCCAAGAGGTGCCCGAGGCCTCCAAGACGGCCCAAGAGGCCCCCAAGAGGTCCTCCAGGAAGGCCCGAAGAAGCCAAAAGCATGAATTCGCCTTAGGTTGTTTCAATGATGTGTCGTATTTGCTCCTCTTCGGCTTTCCGACTACCCAAGACAGCCCAAGAGGCTGTTCCCTAAGATCGCCCCCAGCGCCCAAGAGGCCTCCAAAATGGCCTCAGGACTGCCCAAGAGGCCCCCAAGACGGCCCCAAGAGGGCGCAAAGACGACCCAAGAGGCCTCAAAGACGCCCAAGGTGGCCTCTAAGATGGCCCTGGAGCACCTCAAGAGGGCCCCAAGTCGGCCCAGAGAGGCCCCCCAAAGGGCTTCCGACGACGTCGGACGGGCCAGGAGCCCACCAAGATGGCCGAAGGTGGCTCGAAGCTGGCCCAAGACGGCCCAAGAGGCCTCCAAGAGGGCCTCCAGGAAGGCCCGAAAAGGCTGAAATCATTGATTTCGCATGAGCTCTTTGTATACACTTCTCGATTTGTGCGTGTCATCCTTGCGCAGGGGCCATGCTAATCTTCTCTGTATCGTTCCAATTTTAACGGATGATCCCCGAAGGGAATCCAATTTCGCATGAGCTCTTGAAGGATGTTGTCACTTGCTTCTTTTCGGCCTTCCGACGGCCCGAGACGGCCGAAGAGCCCCCAAAGATCGCCCAAAGATCGCCCAAGAGGCCTCCAAGATGGCCCCAGAACGGCCCAAGCGGCCCCCAAGACGCTCACAAGAGGCCCCCAAAACGGCCCAGGAGGCTGGTAAGACGCCCAAGATGGCCTCCAAGACGGCCCTGGAACATTCCAAGGGGGCCCCAAGTCGGCTCAGAGAGGCCCCCCAAACGGCTTTCGACGGCGTCGGACGGGCCAGGGGCCCACCAAGACGGCCGAAGATGGCACTAAGATGGCCCAAGAGGCTTCCACGAGGGCCTCCAGGAAGGCCCGAAAAGGCCAAAATACTTGATGTCCCATGAGTTGTTTGACGGATTTTGGAATTTGTTGTTTGGCCTTCCGACGGCCCGAGACGGCCCAAGTGCCCCCAAAGATCGCCCAAGAGGCCCAAAACGGCCCAAAGAGGCCCCCAAGACGGCCCAAGAGGCCTCCGAGATGCTCAAGATGGCCTCCAAGACGGCCCAAGAGCCCTCCAAGACGTCCTCCAAGAAGGCCCGAAAGGTTCAAAATGGCCTCCACACGGCCAAGATGACCTTCAAGATGCCCACGTGCTCCCCGAAGGCTTTCCAAACCGATTCATGGAACACATGGTCCGATAGCTTGGCAGGTCTGGCCTCAACGTTAGGCCACATAGGCGCTTCCAAAAAGGCAGGGGGCGGCGGTGATTCGTTCGTTCGTTCGTGTTCGATCCGCCGCCCCGTGTCGATTCATCGCAGGGGTGCCTGGCGTGCCAGATCCTCTCGGTTTTGGTTGTGGTTCTCGTTCCAAAAGAACTCCCCCTGGGGCTTTGGCCCGTCCCGCCGGGGTCCCGGGAAGGATCTCAAAACGCGTCCGTCGATACCTTTGTTGCCCCAAGTTGGCCCAGGATGGCCTCCAAGCCGGCCAAGATGGCCCAGGATGGCCTCCAAGATGGTCCAAGATGGCCTCCAGGTCCGCCCAAGATGGTCCAAGACGGCCTCCAAGACGGCCTCAGAGAGTCCAAGACTGCCAAAGACGGACCAGGAGGCCCGCCAGAGGCATCCAAGACGGCCCAAGAGGCCTCCATGAGGTCCTCCAGGGTGGCCCGCAGAGGCCAAACTCATTGATTTCACGTATGGTGTTGGAAAATGTTGGCATCTGCTTCTTTTCGGCCTTCCGACTGCTCAAGACGGCCCAAGAGGCCCCCAAGATCACCCCAAGATCGCCCACGAGGCCTCCAAGATGGCCTCATGACTCACACATACCTAGATTCATACAGATCTACCTACCTACCTACCTACCTACCTACCTACCTACCTACCTACCTACCTACCTACCTACTTACTTACCTACCTACCTACCTACCTACCTACCTACCTACCTACCTACCTACCTACATACATACATACATACATACATACATACATACATACATACACACACATGCATACACGCATGCTTACATACATACATGCATGCATGCATACACATATGTAGACAAGCAAACATACATACATACATACATACATACATACATACATGCATATGTATGTACTGTCTGTAGGTACCACTTTCGCGGAAATCGATCCAGAACACTAAGGATACCCGCGGAATCTGTCACAAGAAAATGCTAAAGAACGCCCTGCTTCGACGACGGGCGCGCTTTCAACTTCCCGGAAGCCTCTCCGGGAACTTAGCCTCTCAGGGAACCTGAGCCCGCGCCCGTGTGGGAGCCCTCGTCCAAGCTCCTGTGGGCCTTTGGTGGGCGTTCGTTTCGACGCAGTGGTCGGCGTACTGGGAGCGCTGTAATCTTAGGTCGGGCATGTCCCCCTACATGCCTATTTTCCGACAAATTTACAAAATGCCACAAAAATGCCACAAAATGGTCAAACATATTCAAAACATCGTCCCCAGACTATACTACAGGCTGGGACAGGTTTTCTCTTGACGCCGCCACGTGGCCGAACGCCGGATACCAGCAGGCATTCTGTCAGTGGTGGCTGTGCCACGTGACGTATACCATTCGGCACATCCCAATGTGTCTTGGGACCCCAGGGGGCATAACGTCACAAGTGTAATGATGCCCACCACGTGTGTGAATTCATGTTTCTTTTAGTTCCATACATCACGTGACATAACTAACAAAATGTGAATCGGAGCGCCCACAGCACCCGACGACGACGACGACGACGAAGACGACGACGACGACGAAGACTACCACCACCACCACCACCATCACCATCACCATCACCATCACCATTACCATCACCATCACTATCACCATCACCACGATCGCCACGACCACCACGACCACCATGACCGCCACGACGACCACAACGATCACGACCACGACGACGACGGCCACGACGACCACGATCACGACCACGACCACGACCACGACCAGGACCAGGCCAGGCCAGACCAGGGCCAAACCAAGCAAATTGTGAGGACGTCTCAAGCGAAACTGGAACCAAACCACGCCAAACCTAGCAAATTGCGAGGACGCGAAACCGGGCCCAAACCAGGCCAAACCAGGGCCAAACCAGGCAAATTGTGAGGACGTCTCAAGCGAAACCGGGCCCAAACCAGGCCAAACCAGGCAATTGGTGAGGACGTCTCAAGCGAAACGGGCCCAAACCAGGCCAAACCAGGTGCCAAACCAGGCAAATTTTGAGGATGTCTCAGGCGGGGCGCGCCGCCCAACCAGGCCAAACCAGGCCAAACCAGGCCCCACGCACCCGCTGATGCGGACAGGGTTGGGCGCAGAAGGTCTCATTCGTCTTTTGGTTGTTGTTGTTGGGGCCCGTTGTGGCGTCAAGAGAAATGTTTCCGAGCCTGTAGTATTGAATATTCCTTCTGTAGAAGGACAGGCCCGACTTAACTGTAATGTTTTCTGGCCCCCCGGGTGGCCCCTTTTGGTGCCCTGGAGAAAACCCTCTGGGAGCGTGGAAACCCACCAGGTCCCACATGCCCATCCGAGCACCGATTTTGCTCCCCCCCGGCCTACTCAGTACATATACATATATATGTAAATAAATACACATACATATCTATATATATATATATATATACATGTTATATATACATGTTATATACATAGATGCATCATGAGAATATATGTGTATATATATATATATGTATATATGTATACGGATACCAATCAGGGTTAGACTGCCTGAGTGCTACTACTGGGGGTTAACAGGGACGGGGCTGGTTTGCCGCCCCAACCGGTTTGTGTTCGTCCCGCCGCCGCTGTGACGCCGCCCGTCGCCGCTGGTCGCCGCCCCGTCGCCGCCGCAACTGGGCTTGTGTCGACCCTTCCGGCTTTTCGCTCCGTCGCCGCCCCATCGCCGCTGGTCGCAGCCTCGTCGCCACCCGTCGCCGCAGCCTCGTCGCCGCACGACGTAGACTCCACCACGGAAAGGTCGCACCCCATAGGTTGCACCACACCGACTGCCCACCATAGTTCACACCACATTCCTTGCACTACAGAACTTAAACCACACATATTCTCGTCTCTGACAGAGTAGATTCCACCACCCTCCCTAGGGCAGATTTAACCGTTCACACACATACGACTATGATCCCAGCCACACCAGGTTCGACACCCTCACCATCCTATGGAAAAACACACTGTGCGAGTACACCCGTCTATCCAACACCCTGCATTATCAACATAACCCTTGCACAAAAAACTGTGCCGAAGGGCGTACGCACGCGTAGTCGCGCGCGCATGCCGAAATCCTTGCTTAGAAAAGGAAGGCCCCACAGGGATTACAACATCTAGAGCCCCGAAAACATACAACAGCGCACGACTCGCAACATGACACATCAAACAAAGTCAGCGCGCGCGCTTTGGAACGGTTTGGTTCTCGTCCTGGCTCCGTCCGATCTACAAAATATCTTGCCCATACCCTCGACGTCGTGATTTTTTACACCGTCGACCCCCAGAAAGCTGGACTACACCCCTTCCCCGGGACAGGCTTTTCCTCCTGATTCGTTTTTTGACGACCCCGAGGCCCGGTAAGGGCCCCCGGGGGCCGAAAATGAAACAAAAACCTCCCGTTGTGATTCTTGTTCGCAACGCGAGGGGGTCTGGGTACTCGGAGCCCGCCCCGACGAGGAGGAGGCGGAGGAGGAGGAGGCGGAAGAGGAAAAGGAGGAGGAGAGGCGGAGGCGGAGGAGGCGGAAAGGTCTGGGTGGCAAATCGTGCGGCTCGAACGTCGGATGCCATAATCATAGCCCCACGGCGGAAGCCGGGGCCCCACGGGGGGGGTGGGGGGCTCCTGCGGACACGGCAGTGCGCACGGCGCCCTCCGCGACGCTCTCCGCGACGCTCTTCGCGGCCGCGGCGCGCTGGCACGGGCGCTCGCTCGCGGGAGGCCCTCCTCCACCTCCTCCTCCTCCGCCTTGTCCTCCTGCTCCTCATTTTCCTCCTCCTCCTCCTCCTCCTCCTCCTCCTCCTCCTCCTCCTCCTCCGCCTCCGCCTCCTCCTCTTCCGCCCCCGCCTCCGCCTCCACCTCCTCCTCCTCCTCCCTCCTCCTCCTCCTCCTCCTCCTCCTCCTCCTCCTCCTCCTACCTGACTAGCCCGGGTCAATCCAGACCCCGGCTAGTCAGGCCTTGCATGCTCCTGCACAATCCTGCAATATCCAAGATCCTGCACCCAAGCCCGACTCAGCGCGAAAGATCCTGCAAAATCCTGCAGGATCCTGCGCCCAAGCCCGGGTTAATGCGACCCTGGCCCGGCAGGATCGCTCTGGCTGACCCCCGTTAGCCCGCTCCCCTCCCACTCTTCTTGTTGCATTGCGCGCGGCACTGAAGCAAAAGCGAGGTGCAGCGGCACCTCGCCGCGCGGACTGCCACCGGCGCCCCAGCGGGGGCAGGCAGAACAAGAGGGTGGGTGGGAGGGTGGGACAAGCGGCCCTCCCTGATCCGACACTGCTGCGGCGGCACAAAGAGGGGAAGGAGAAGCAAAAGGGGACAGGACAAAACATCCATGTAGCAAGCAGTGCTAACTTTGCTTCACCTTCGCGAATCACTGTTAGCCCGCCCCCATCCCACTTTTTCTCTTTGCGTTGCGCACGGCGCTGAAGCAAGAGCGAGGTGCAGCGGCACCTCGCCGCGCGGACTGCCACCGGCGCCCAATGCCAATGTAAAAGGGTGGTGGCAAGGACACGCAAAGACTAATTCTCTGGGCCGCTGTCGTCAATCACGCCCTGCGCGAGCAGGCCCGCTGCCACCTCGTCGCCCGACACATGCGGCCACGCGGAAGCGAGGGAGCGCCACCCACCACGCGACAGCATGGCCTCAACGCCGGACGTTGCAATATCATCCCTGGCGGCGCCACGCTGGATGTCATGGCCGTACCACTCCTCTGGACGCGGCACCTCCACGGCGGCCAAAAGTTCGCGAAATTCGCGAGTCCACGACGCCGGGGTGATACCACCCAACGGCGGACCGGCACTCGCCCGGGTCCGCTCGTCCATTTAAAGGCAGCCGCGCGTGCAGACATAGCGCCTCGTCCGTATTGCAGAGGCAAATGGCAACCGCAGTGCAAAAGTCTTGGCGCTGCTTGCGCCGAGTGGGACCGTAAAGGAAACGACTGCCTGCCACCTGTAGCAGACCCCGCCGACACTGGCGGAACAGCTCCGACGGCATACGCAACAAGAAGTCGTACGCCAGCACAGGTACGAGGCACCACCGCACCCGACCTTGCGGAAAGGCATGCCGCAGAAGGCCTTCAGCAACGCTTTGTCCACGCGTTGCCTGGGCTGGCAGGGCGTCGTGCCCTTCACGGTGCCCAGCCGGGCCCCGCGCAAGATGGCATCGTGGTCGCCCTGCCAAGGCACGCCTGCCACCTGGTGCGCCATGGCCCAAGCGCTCAGCCACCCGCGCTGCGTGGCGGAACGCGCGCACACGGCCGCGACCCTACGTATGCGCTGCGCACTGCACCCTAGCGGGGCTCACCGAAGAGCTCAGACGCCCACGCAATCATGCGCAAATGCGATGCGTACGTCGAAAGCGGGGACGGCAGCGTTTTGCACGGGAACCAATTTTCGACCACTGCGTCCGCTATGCGAAACAGATCGGCACCCTGAGCGCGGGCCTCGACCATGGCATGCAGCACCTCGCGCGGAGGCGCGCCATCCGGGTGCATTGCGCAGCTCCCTCTGTCCCGGCTCAACGCGGTCATCATGTCGGCATTTTCCCTGCCAACAGCCCGGCGGAAACTGTCCAGCACGCCCCAGTACGTGGACCAAGCCTCTGCGGGGCCACGCGCGCACACGGCGCCGCCAAGGCTAGCCTGTGCCCCGCGGGGAGGAGCGCCGGCAATGCGCGGACAGCTGTGCGCGCTGCCGCTGCCACCTGGCGGAACGGCGCCAAAATGCCCAGCGGGGCCGCCCCCGGCGCCAACAGCGACCCAGCGGGGCCCTGGGGCGACCGCCGCGGGGCTGAAGCGCCCTGCGGTGCGCCCTGGGAAACCAGCGCGGCAGCGGCCTGGGGCGCCACGCGGGTCGCCGGCTCTAGCCGAAGGCGCAGGATCCCCGGCGGGGAGCGCAGCGGCGCGCACCGATGGAGGCGCGGACCCATGCGCCGCGACAACAAGCGGGCGGGCGACCACGCTGGCGAGCACGAGCCAATACGGCGGCGGCCTCGTAACCGCCCCCCCCGCCCAAGCGGGGGGGAGGGAGGCAGGGGGAGGAAGCGAATGACGACGGCGACCGAGACCCCGACGATGAAGATGCCCCGGCGCCGGCCGCGGCAGGTTCCCACAACTCCGGCCCAGAATCATGCGTCTTGGAAGGAGAGAAGGACGATGACGAGAAGGAGGACGAGGAACATGGGGGGGAGGAGGAAGAGGGGAGAGGGGAGGAGGAGGAGGAGGAGGCGGAGGCCGCAGCGGCAGCAGGAGGCGGCGGCGGCGGCGGCAGGAAGCGGCAGCGGCAGCACAGGCGGCAGGGAGCGACGCCACTTTTCCTCCAGCTAACAGATGTGGTACCTGGACAGGTCCACGGTCAAGGTGGGCGTAACTTCGACGACCTTGGTCCCGAACTTGGCGAGGGCGTCTTCGACCGCCTTCCGGGGCGCTGCGTCCACAGGTATGGAGTCGGAGTGCACGTATTCGAACCGACGCCGGATGTCGTGCTGGCATTCGAAGCTCGTGCGCCGCGCCCACCACGCTGGCCGCGCGCGGCGACCCGCTGCGCCCGAGGACGCACCCAGCGAGCGCTGCTGAGTTGTCGCCAAAGCAATAGAGACAGCGCGAACGAATTCGATCGCCCCAAGCCTCCAAGGCCTTGGCGATCCACAACGCCTCTGCGTCATGAGTAGCATGCTGGCGGCAGGGCCTGAATTGATCAAGCACCTGGCCTGGCACCACTACCGAAAACCCCACCCGGACCTCTGGGGTTGCCCCAGGGAGGGCCAGCGCGGCAGCGGCCCGCTGGGAGACCAGCGCAGCGTCGCCGTAAAGCATGGCAACGGGCGCGGCCGGCGAGGCCAACGGCAGGGGGCGCGGGCGCGCACGCCGCAGCAGGTGAGCCCACAGGCGAAGGGCAACCCGAGCCTGCGACGGCCACTCACCGGCGCGCCGGGCGGCCTCGACGTGTCCGAGAGCGTCGAACAAAGGCAGGCGGGCGCGCGCGCCCGCCTTCCCCTGAAGCCCGCGCGAGGCGAACACAAGTTTGCCGATGCACCAGAACGCCTGCCCCGCCTGCAGGCGGGAGCGCGCGACCTCTTCGCATTCCCGAGCAAACGTCTCGCGCCGGCAACTGCGGTCGCCGACTTCGGGGCCCTCCTTGCGGGGGGTAAAACCAAGCCCAGGAGGGTGAGCAGGGTCCCGTGTTGGCTCTTCGCCTCCTTCACGTCGTACTCCAGGACCTTGAGGACCTCCCGGAGGACGAATCGAACGGACGACGCTGACCAGGGCGGTTCCCAGGTCCAGAAATCATCAAAATAATAGACACCGGAACACGATGTTAGAATTCGCGGCGGCGCCTCCGGTGCCAAAATCTTGTGACAGGAGTTCCCGTCTTACCACTTCGCGCCGCTGCGGGTCCCAGAAAACCTGGGCGACGCGCGCCGGGGTGAGGCAGCGGCCTACCTGGTGATACGCCATCCTTCAATCACCCTCACTGTCCACTGGCGGCTCGCCGAAGGCTAGTTGCGAGGCCACCATCTGCGCGAGAATGACCTCGCTGTCAGAGCAAACGATCCGCCCCGCAGGAGACCACGAGAGGTTGAAACAGCACCCGCCCGGGGAGTCCGAAGCGTCAGCGCACGCCCGGATCTCCCAGGAGCAGCTCGGCACAGCGGTGCCCTCTTCCTCCGACCACTTACTCTGCCACACGGCAACTTTACGACAGAATGATACGTCGCCCCCTCCGCCAGGGACAGAACTAAAGAATTCGAGCGGCCGGGCGGGCCCTAGAGACCCCGTCTGTTCGGCCTCCCCCCCCTGCGTCCACAGCTCGGCGGCGTGCGGGTGGCTCCTTTGGACTCGCTGGACGACTTCCTCGTTGCGGCTGCGGCTCAAGAGCTAACTGACCAGGCGGGCGGAGCCGCCGGCCGCTACGCGCGGGAAAATGCCGGATTCCTCGGCAACCCCACTGTCGCGAAGTCCCTGATGGAGGCACTGCAGAAACGAGGCAGCAGGGGGCTCGAGAAGGCGGAGGAGGCGGAGGAGGAGGAGGGAGGGCTGACGAGCGAAGTGAGCAACGGCCGGGTCAACTTTTTTGCTAAGCTGTATTCGTTCGCCGCGCAGCTCGCGTTTCCACACTTTCAGCAAAGCCAACCTCCTCAAACGGATGTCGTTCACAGCGCTACCCAACCGATTTTGGCAGGCAACGGCGAAAGCTGCACCTTCCGCCACCGCCGGCGGCTGGTTTAAAGGGTGGGCGCCGCGCCGCGCCACTCCGAGCGCAGCGCCCAAGTGGTCGCATGGACGGAAGCCCCGCGACTGCGCAGCATTATACACGCGGCGGGGCTGCACGGCGACAGCGGGGTCGCCCCGCCAAACGCGAACCATGGAAAAGGCGACGCCCTTGCCGGGCAAGGCGTGCCCAGGGGGCGCCGGCACGAGAGCCAGCGCTCGAGCCCAACACCTTGGAATTCAACGCGCCCAGCGGGACGCGAGGAGCAAGAGACCAGATCGCCGCCGCTGGGGCAGCGGCCCAGCGCGGCGCGGCAGCGGCCGCGCCCTCAATGCCACTGGCCAGGGTCGGCCTCTCTCCGGCCTGGGGGCCTGGCCGGACCTCCCCGCGCCCTCTGCGGAGGGGAACGGGAGCGCTCGCGGCGCGGCCCCGGCTGGTCGCGGCCTCTTTTGCCCGCGTCCCTGCGCACGAGCTCGCGGCCGTTGGACTCCAACTGCGACAGGAAGCACCGCGTGGCGCCTGGGCCCACCGTGGGGCAAAGCGGGCACCTGTGGCGGCACGCGCACCGGTTGCCGCTTGCGCAGTTCCCGCCGAAGACGAACCGCCGGCATGGGAAGGGGCAGGCCTGGCGCCCCCCCGGCCCCGCCGCTGTTCCGGCCAGCGCGGCCCCGGCGGGCCCGCGCTCCGTCCCGACCTCGGACTGGCACCGCGTTAAGAGAGACCAGTCCATCTCCCCGAGGAAGCGGGAGACGTTCTCGCGCCCCTCGGCGTCAGCGCTGCCCTTCTTCCTGGCGGAGCAAGCCTCCCGGAGAAGCCCCTCTTCCTGGCGGGACGGCGTTGTCCGCTGCTGCCGCGCAGCTTGGCCCACCCAGCTCAGGGCGTCGCCCCAGGGAGCGCGGCCCTGTAGGACAGCGGCCCGCGCGCGCGGCAACTCTTGGCACAGGGTTTGCGCCAGCGGGCGTTGGAGCCTCAGCGCGCCCTCCACCTTTCTGGCGAAGGCGCCTGGAGGAAGCGCCCAGATTTGCGCGCCGCGGCGGCGGCGCGCAAGGCGGACTCGTCAGGCTCGAGGCTGCGGAGGGTTTCACCCTGGCCGGCGGACTGCGCCAACGTCCTGAGCTGGTCGGCCGGGTCGTGCTCCTGCGTGAGCTCCTCCAGCGTCTTCGCGTCCTGCCTGCAGGCTGCGGCGAGGACCTGCCCGAGGTAGAGGTTGCCCGCCGCCGAGCCCTGCATGGGGGACGCGCCAACCCAATCCCCAGGCGGACGGTCCGCCAGAAGCTCGGCCGGCAGCTGCCCGGAGCCTGCCGGCTGGCCGGCCAGCTGGCCGAAGGCCCCCAAGAACTCGTGCACCGCTGCCCGCCCCCGAGGCACCAGGCTGCCGGGGCACGCCTTAAGAAAAGGCTTGCCGCCCATGATGCGGACGTCCTTGACCAGCTCCTTGACGTCGTCGTCCCCGTAGCCGGCCTTCTGGAGGGCGGAGACCAGCTGTTGCCAGCGCCCCTCGGCGCCGAGTTCCTGCGGCAACGTGGCCCTCAACGCCGTGAGCGTGGCCGGCACTGCGTCGCCGGCACTCGCGCCCAGCACCTGGGCGACATGAGCACTAGCCGCTCCTGGAGGGGGCCCTCCAGCACCAGCCGCTCCTCCTGGGGGTGGCCCTCCTCCGCCATGGACTCCTCAAAGGTCTGCCATGGCAGGTGTGAGGCCGGAAGTTGAAAAGCAAAAGTGGGAAGTAAAAGGAATAGGAAGCTTAAGACAAGCGGCCCCCCCTGATCCGACATTGCTGCAGCGGCACAAAGAGGGGAAGGAGAAGCAAAGGGGGACAGGACAGCTCATGCATGGGGCAAGCAGTGCTAACTTTGCTTCACCTTCGTGAATCAGCGTTTGCATTGACCCCCGTCTCTTGAGCCCTGAAGAACGACTCAGGACGAAAGACCAGTCCCGGGGAAGGGGTCCAGACCTCTGGGGGTCGACGTTGTGAACAAATCACGACGTCGAGGGTCTGGGCAGGAGGGAGATCGAGGCTCCCAGAAGGTCTGGGCCCTCGCTGGGACCTCCAGCACTTAGAGGTTCTTGCTTCTGGGCTGCTAAGCAACTGGGCGTGGGTGAAGGTCGGCCTGGCAGCTATGTAGCCGCCGAGCGCCGCCCTGTCGCCGCCTCGTCGCCGCTCCTCGCCGGGGCTTGAAGGTCGGTCTGGCGGGTACGTAGCCGCCTTCGCCGCCGCCCCGTCGCCGCCTCGTCGCCGTCCGTCGACTGGGCCTGCAGAGACCTCCAAAGACCGGGGACCGCCGGCGGCCTCCGGAGTCCTCCAGGGAGCTCTCCAGAGACCCTGGCCCGCAGGAACCCGCGACAAAAAGCAGGCGGGCGGCTTCTTAAACGTTCGTCCTCTGAAGCTCGCTTCGGGCCCCGGGATTAGGAAAGCGAAGACCCGGGACGTCAGCCCCGCCTCCAAAATGAGGCGCGAGGCCCGGGGACCCCACGCCACGCACGAGAGAATCGCATCGGATGACAGGGGAAGCCACGTCGACGACGACGACGACGACGACGATGACGACGACGACGACAACGACAACGAGAAGATCGGATGTAACAAGCAACTGTGGCCTTCATGTGTTTTCCCCACTCCCTCGCACCCGCCCGCGAAGTCATTGGACCTCCCCCCTTTCGGGGGGATTCGTTTCATACCAGCTCCTGGGAGAAGGATTCGGTACTCTCTACGCGCACCACATCGCCACGGTCGCCAAACGTGCTAACGCGCCCGCGGGCCAAGGCGTCTCGGAGTAAATTGACGAGGTATCGAGCGGGAGCCGTTGTCGTCGAAGCTGCCCACCCCCCTCCCCAACTTGAACGAATTGCGAGGAGGATTCGAGCCAGACCGCAGTTCCTGAGCTTCGAAGCTTCTCTGGCCAGGGCCTCTCGAAGTAAATCGAGCAGAATTGTCGGGCGAAAGCTGCTGTCATCGTAGCGGGGCGTCCACGAACGTGCGTGAATTGTGAGGATGTCTCGAGCCAGAGCGCAGTTCCTGAACTTCGAGGCCTCTCTGGCCAGAGCGTCTCGGAGTAATCGCAAGGAAGTGTCGAGCGGCAGCCGCTGCCGCCATCGCTGGAATTCCACGAACTTGCATGAATTGCGAGGAAGTCTCGAGTCAGAGCGCCGTTCCTGGGCTTCGAGGTCTCTCTGGCCAGAGCGGCTCGGAATAAATCGCAAGGAAGTGTCGAGCGGGAGCCGCTGTCGCCGTCGCTGAACTCCACGAACTTGCGCGAATTCCAAGGACGTCTCGAGCCAGAGCGCTGTTCCTGGGCTTCGAGGCCTTCCTGGCCAGGGCCCGTCGAAGTAAATTTCGAGGACGTACCGAGCGGGAGCCGCTGCCGCCGTCGCTGGAACTACACGAGCTTGCGTGAATTGCGAGGATATCTCGAGCCAGAGCGGCGTTCCTGAGCTTCGAGGCCTCTCTGGCCAGGGCCCGTCGAAGTAAATTTCGAGGAAGTATCGAGCGGGAGCCGTTGTCGTCGTAGCCGGGCCCACAAAGGCACACATACACAATCGCGCCCCCGCTCGAGCGGGAGCATCGTTTTCACAGAAAATGAGGCCGGCGTCTGGGCGAGAGCGCCCGGGCAACTTTCCGGAGATCGACAATAATTATTCTCTAGACATGAATATTCAACGTCGACAAGGGCGGCGTCGGCGACTGGCAGACCCCAGCGGCGCGGGCGGCCGGCTGCCCACCTCAAGCGCCCGCGCGTGCGCCCGCCGCAGCTTGGCGCGCGCCGCCCGCAGCGCCGCCCTGCGCCCCCGCCGCGGCAGGATGCGGGGACGGCGGCGGCGACAGGGACGGCGACGACGGCAGACAACGGAGGCGGCGGCGGCGAGGGCCGCGGCGGCGGCGTCGGCGTCGGCGACGACGATGACGATGACGACACAAAGGCGGCGACGACAACCTGACGACGACGGAGTCAGCGACGACGACGACGGCGGCGGCGACGGCGATGGCGGTGATGGCGCCGACGTTTTCTGCCGACGGCGCTCCTTGCCAGGCCCGCAGGAGTGTCCGCGCCGCTGCCCGCTGGCGCCGCTGGCGCCGATGCCACGACGACGACAACGACGGCGGTGGCGGCAGCAGAGACGACGACACCTCCATTCACGCACTCAGACTAGCATGGGCCTCCTGGTCGTGAGGGTCCCTCGGCGCCTTTGAACAGTGCTCCAGGTCGGGCCCAGGGGCCAAGAGACTGTTTCTCTTGTGTGGATCGGCGATCTAAACCGAAATATCGGGGGGGCTGGGGGAAGTCCCACATATGCCCGTGCGCACCAGTGCTGCGGCCACTGTAGCTGCCGACGATGCTGCGGCTGTGCTGCTAGTCGTGCTGCGCCGATGCGGGCGCCGAGAGGGAGAGCGTGAGGACTTGTCTGGACGGCTCAACCGACCGGGTGAGGTTCTCCACGGGGGGGGGCGAGCCCGATAACCCGTGATCGCGGGACCCTGGCAGCCTCCGATATGGAGCGCAGAGCCGATGAGAAGGGCGGTGGCAGCGGCGACGGTGGCGAGCGGCGGCGACAGCGGCGGCGACGAGGCGGAGGGGGAAGGCGCGGGGCGGCGGAGGCGGAGGCAGACGTGAGTCGGCCACTGCCATCTTGCCGCCTGCCTGGTCCCGGGGGGGGGTCGGAAACCGCGGTCGCTGCGGACCACGCGGCGGCGGCCGCCGCGGACGCTCGACCCAGGAAGGGAAGGGCGACAGGCGACAGCGCATCCCGAGGCTACTTGGCACTGGCTTGGCATTGGCTTGCTTCGCGCTGCTTGGCACGACGTGGAATCGATGCTTGCCGTTGTTGGACAGAGCACTGCGTTGTGTTGCCTGGCGTTGCCCAACATTGCTTGGAATGTGTTTGGCATGGGCTTTGCGTTGGCACTTCTTCGCGTGGCATTATTTTCGTTGCTGGGAGTTGATCATCATGTCTTGGCATTGGTTGACACTGCTTGGCATGCATTGGAACTGCTCGGTATTGGTCGGCGTCGCTGTCCACCCGATGCAAACAAAAAAGCGGCCAATTCATCTACGAGTCGCGTCGCCCACGGAAATCTCCGAGGCCAAGGCAGAGCTGAGACAACTCGTGAAGATGTTACCACCAGTGCATGACGTGGCGCTGCTGAGCTTCACTTGGTATTAGCGTCTCTGTGCGTGGCATTTCAAGGCATTACGTGGAATCGCTTCTTGGCACTCATTGGCGTTGCTTGGCATTGGGTGGAGTTGCTTGGCATTGAATTGGCATTGCGTGGCGTGGCTCAGTGCTGCTTGGATGTGTTGCTTGACATTGGCTTGGCACTAGCATTGAATGGATTGGCAAGGCACTGCTTGAAAGCGTTGCTTCGTGGTGCTTGGCATTGCTATTGCTCGGCGTTGCTTTGCGTTGGATTGGCAATGGCGTTTCATTGCTTAGCGCTGCGTGGCGCTAAGTGTTATCGTTACTTCGCAGCGGTTGGCGGTGATTGACGCATCGTAGTAGTTGATGGCGTCGATGACAGATGTTAGTATTGACTGGCAGGACATGTCATTGCTTGGCATTGCTTGGCAAGCGTTGGAATCGTTGCTTGCCGTTGCTTGGCATTGATTGGCACTGGCTTGGTATTGGCGTTGCATTGCTTGGCGGTAACCTGGCACTGCCTGGAAGCGTTGCTGGGTATGGTTTGAGTGTGCTTGGCAGTCTGTTGAGTTGCGTAACGTTGGTTGCCACTGCGTGGACGCGCAGCTAGGCATTTTGTGGCGTTCTTTGGCGTTGGCTTCGCATTGTCTTTGGACTGCTCGGCAAATGCCTGGCACTGCTTGACATGGCTTGGCATTCCGTTGCTTGGCGGTGCTTGGCATTGCCTGGCATGGCTGAGCACTCCTTTGAATCGGTGCTTGGCATTGCTTTGCATGCTTGGCGATACTTGGCATTGCTTGGCATTGGCTTGGCAGTGGCTTGGCATTGGCGATACAGTGCTTGGCGTTGCTTGGCACTGCTTGGAATCGTGGCTTGGCAGTGCTCGAGATAGCTGGACATTGCTTTGCGTTGAGTGTTGCTGCTTGACATTACTTGGCAGTACTTGGAATCGTTGCGTGGCAGTGCTTGGCCTTGCTTGGCATTGATATTAACGTCTCTGCATTCCTTGGAATCGTCGCTTGTCGTTGCATGGCACTGCTTGGTGCTGCTTGGCCTTGCTTGGCACTGGTTTGGTATTGGCGTTGCATTGCTTGGCGTTGCTTAGCACAGCCTGACGTCATTGCGTATCGTTGTTCGGCATCACTGCTTGTCTTTGTTCGACAATGCTTTACAATTCATGGCATTGCTGTCCGTTGCTTGGCGTCGCTTGGCATCGCGTGGAATCGTTACTTGACGTTGTTGGACACTGCTTGGCGTTACATGACTTTACTGTGCAGAGGCTTGGTATTGGCTTTGCACTGCTTAACAAATGCCTGGCAGTGCTTTTACATGTTGCTGGGTATTGCTTGGAATTGGTTGGCATTCCGTTGTGTTGCTTGGCGTTGGTTGGCATTGGCTTCGAATGGTTGCTTGGCGTTGTTTGGCGCTCCGTGGAGTCGTAATGCATTAGCGTGACATTGCGTAGTGTTGCTCGGCGCTGCTTGGCTCTGCTTGGAATCCCTGCTTGGCGTGGCTTGTCGGCGTTTGACCTCGTCGCTTGGCGCTGCTTGGCACCGCTGGGCACTGCTGGGCATTGCTGGGCACTGCTGGGCGTTGCTTGGCACCGCTTGGCATTTGGCTGGCGTTCCCACAGGACCCCCAGAGGAAGCCCGGTCCACGCTGAGGGGGGCCGCCTCTTGCCGCCGAGAAAGCCCGAGCGCAACGTCCGAGGAGCCCCCCAAGACACCCGGGCAGCGCCGAGAGGCCGCCCCTGTGCCCGAGGAGCCCCCGCACCCGCTGGTGAACCCCTTTGGGGAGAGCCTTCTGTTTGGTTGACCAAGAAGGGGGTCCAGCTGGGAGGAGGGTGGTGCAATAGATTCGGGGCAGTTGTATTGCAAATATCTTGCGCCAGAGAAACAGATTCCACTGTATTGCAACTGATGCACTGGAATGTAGTGCACGCCGCAAATCTAGCGCAACCCCACAGATCTATCGCACCAAAACTATTGCCCCATGCCCTTTTCGCTGGGCCCCCGTCTGGGTCAACCAAATCCTTGGGGAAGAACACGTGAACAACGATCAAAAACGGGTATTACGCGATACGACATAGCAACCGCACGCGGTGGCCTGACGCGGGCCGCCAGCTGTGTATGCCACATTCGAAACAAGGGGGCTCACGCGCGACCGTACGCGGGGAGCTGACACGCCAATGTCGGCGCAATCGAACCCGTGTTCTTCCGTCGGTCACGTCATGTACTGGCATGGCATCGGCTTATATGCCGTTGAACTGGATCTCGCATCGCAGCAAGACACCGCAACGTTGCACAGCATGGCGAACCAAGGAATACACACCCCGGGGGTAGGCTACCTTAGGCGTGATCCAACGGAATGGCCTCGCATTTGGTGACAGGAAGAAGCGATGTGCAAGCACCAGTGGTTAATGCATTACCACATGGTATATGGACCAGTGTCAAAAAAAACAATGAACAAGACCCTACCAAGGATACAGATCATCATCAGCACCATGACCGTCATGACTATCGTCATCAGCATCACCATCGCAATCATCATCAGCATCACCATCACCATCACCATCACCACCATCATCATCATCATCATCATCATCATCATCATCAGCATCAGCATCAGCATAATCATCATCATCATCATCATCATCATCATCATCATCATCATCATCATCATCATCATCATCGGCATCACCATTCGCATCGACAGACTCGTCACCAGTATGTTTAATCTCATGGTATCCGCCATCGCATGAGAAACACATCAGCGTTAACATCACGGGTATCGTCACCATCATCATAATCATCATCAGCACCAGCAGCATCATCATCAGCAGCATCATCATAAGCATCATCATCAGCATCACCATCATCAGGTTCAGCATCATCATCATCAGCAGCACCAGCATCCCCAGCATCATCATCATCATCATCATCACCATTACCATGATCATCACCATTACCATCACCATCACCATCACCATCACCATCACCATCATCATCATCATCATCATCATCATCATCATCATCATCATCATCATTAGCGTTATCACAATCACCCTCAGCATCATCATCACGTGTAACATCATAGTTAGCAAAATCATTTTACTTGGCCTCATCGCTGCCATCATCCCTGAAATAATTCCCTTTCCCCTCCAGGCTGCCAGCGCCGAGGAGACCGACTCCCCCGCCGCGGAGATCGCCCTCAAGGCAAAGGCGGTAGGCAAGGCGAAGGCGAAGGTGAAAGGCGGTAGGCCAGGCGAAGAGGCGGAAGGCAAGGCGAAGGCGAAGGCGAAGGCAAAGAAACGAGAGAACACTGCCCTGGACAGGGTGGGGGCGCACTGTAAAGTCACTCCATTCACCGCCACTCCCCTCCTCAGCCTTCCTCCTCGCTCTTCCTCTGACCACTCCCCCCCTGCCCCCCCCCCGAAGAGGGTGACAAGGCGGAGCAGGGGGGTGGTGATGAAGGGGGGGATTCTACAGTGCGCTCCGACTGCCCCCGCACGCGGGGGTGCAGAGCGCGAGGAGCCTGGTGCTCGGAACGGCTCGTGACCGAGACAGCGGGAGAATGAAAAGAGGGAAGAGGTGGGGGGGGGGAGAAGACAAGGAAGGGGAGGCGAGGGGAGGAGGATGAGGACGGG